TGTGTGTGTGTGTGTGTGCATGTGTGTGTGTGTTGGTGTGAGTGTAAAGGTGTGAATGTGAGCGTGTGTTTGTGTTTGTGTGTGTATGTGTGTGTGTGTGTGTGTGTGTGTGTATGTGTGTGTGTGTGTGTGTGTGTGTGTGTGTGTGTGTGTGTGTGTTTATACTACTTTCTTCCTAACCAAGTAGGCTACATGAACGTTTCCCCTTTCTTCAAATATATTTTAGTTTGGTGAAAAAATCAGCCCCCGAAGACAAAGGCATCTCTGACGGTTTCCATGGTTTTCTAAAACACTTTGAGCCTCACCATGAAACAGTCTCCTCTGCGCCTGACTCCAGAAGGAACTTCCCACAGGCCGTCTTCCTAGATCCTCCCACCCCTTCTTCTCCTTTGGCCACAACAGAGGAAGAAGAGCCGCGTCGCGTCGTTGTGGAGAAGCCGGCGATATTGACGTCAAGACGGTACCTACGACCATTAGAACTCTACAAGGGAGGAGATCCCCACGAAAACGCCGGGATCAGTACTTCTCGCTCTAAAAAAGCCGAGCTCTTTTCAATCAACATCTCTCAGGCGATGAAAAATTCCCTGGGAATGGAACCCAAGGGCGACACAGGAGACACCTATCAACAGCGCCAACCACCTGTCACCTTTGATGACGTCATGTCTCAGGCCCAACCGCCAGAAATGGCCCCACCCCTCATTCCCGAGCCGACAAAACTCACTATGAACGAAGGTGTGGTCTGGCCGTCCACGTTCGCCACAGCCCCACCCTACACAAGTCCCGGGTACGACAGCCACGGGGTCCAGCAGCCAGTAGGCGTGGTCAGAGTGCTAAACGCTTCACTCATCCCTGCGAGTCCATCCGAAGGCGTGGTCGGTCATTTGAAAGTTCCTATGCCCACGTGGGTGTCCCCTCTGTACAGGAGTTATGGCGTTGGTGGGCCTTACGGGCCACATGGGCCCTTCTACCCGAAAACCGAAGAGTACTGGAAATGTGTAGAAACCGTGCCCAAACAGACAACGAAGTCTGTTAGAACGATGTGGTTCCCTTTTATAGCTATTCAAAGGTGGAAGACAAAACAACAGGAAAACAGGCCTAATGGTATTGAAGACCGCAACAGACGGGCAAAAAGTGGCAAGGCGAATGGAGAACAGGGGAAAATTCCTCTACTAATCTTTGGACGAAGCAACCGTTCACAGGAAAAAGACAAAAGCGACAAGACAACAGTGTCGTCTTCCCATTCGGACAACGAACCTTATGGGAATATGTTAGAAGACGCCCATGCAGTAACAGGACGAAAAAAGAAAGTGAGCTTCCAGTTGCTTGAACCCCCGATGAAAACGGAGACGTCAACGGCACAAGATCAGCGGCAGGCGACTTCCCTTCAAGACACGGGGGCACTCGCTGACACCCCGGCAGTGCCAAAAATTACCTTCGGTGACGAACAAGCTAACCTTGCCCATACTCCAACAGAAAACGAGGAGGTAGAGCCGAGTAGTTACGTCACTGGTGAAGATGAAATTCCCAACTACTCTTCAGGTGAATACAATACCACCAGCAGCAAGCCCGAGGATCCCACCTTAAATTTAGATACATTTCAAGATCAAGAGACTCTCAACCAAGATGGGACCATTAATATTCCCGAACACTGAAGAGATGGTACATAAATATGTACATGTACACTTTAAAAAACCTAAGAAAAGACCAATGAAACAAAAGAGAGAGAGAGAGAGAGAGAGAGAGAGAGAGAGAGAGACAA